CTGCTTTACCCCCTTTCATTCTACATAATGCCTCACGCACCTCCCCCACATTCACATCCTGCTCTTCTTCACTCCTAAAAGATGTTATACCTCCCTGACCAGTGCATGAAATTACCGCCTCCCTTTCTTCATCGACATTTAAAAGTTCCTCAAAATATTCCTGCCATCTACCCAGTACCTCCAGCTCCCCATCTACTAATTCCCCTACTCTGTTTTTAACTGACAAATTCATTCATTCCCTAGACTTTTTTAACTTGTCTGTCTCCAGAATTTTTTCTTATTTTCAGCAAAATTTCTTGAGTGCCTCTCCCACTCTTTCATCTGCTCTCCTTTTGCACTCTCTCACCACTCTCTTCAACTTTCTTTTACTCTCCATATACTCTGCTCTTCTTACAACACTTCTGCTTTGTAAAAACCTCTCATAAGCTACCTTTTTCTCTTTTATCACACCCTTTACTTCATCATTCCACCAATCACTCCTCTTTCCTCCTGCACTCACCCTTCTATAGCCACAAACTTCTGCCCCACATTCTAATATTGCATTTTTAAAACTATCCCAACCCTCTTCAACTCCTCCTCTCCCCCCCCCCCCTACTCATACTTGCATTAGTCCACCTTTCTGCCAATAGATACTTATATCTCACCCAAACTTCCTCCCCCCTTAGTTTATACACTTTCATCTCTCTTACTTGCTGTTGCCATTGTCCTTATGTCCCATCTACCTCTTGCTCTAACTGTAGCTGCAACTAAATACAGTGGACCCCCGCATAACGATTACCTCCGAATGCGACAAATTATGTAAGTGTATTTATGTAAGTGCGTTTGTACGTGTATGTTTGGGGGTCTGAAAGGAATAATCTACTTCACAATATTCCTTATGGGAATAAATTCGGTCAGTACTGGCACCTGAACATACTTATGGAGTGAAAAAATATCGTTAACCGGGGGTCCACTGTAATGATCTGATATAGCAGTTGCCCCTTTATGAACATGTATACATCCTGAATCCTACCCATCAACCTTTTATCCACCTATACATAATATAACAAACTACTTTCGTTACGATTATTATTATTTTTTTTTTCTCAACAAGTCGGCCGTCTCCCACCGAGGCAGGGTGACCCAAAAAAGAAAGAAAATCCCCAAAAAGAAAATGCTTTCATCATCATTCAACACTTTCACCACACTCACACATAATCACTGTTTTTGCAGATGTGCTCAGAATGCAACAGTTTAGAAGCATATACGTATAAAGATACACAACATATCCCTCCAAACTGCCAATGTCCCAAACCCCTCCTTTAAAGTGCAGGCATTGTACTTCCCATTTTCTGGACTCAAGTCCGACTATATGAAAATAACCGGTTTCCCTGAATCCCTTCACTAAATATTACCCTGCTCACACTCCGAACAGATCGTCAGGTCCCAAGTACCATTCGTCTCCATTCACTCCTATCTAACACGCTCACGCACGCTTGCTGGAAGTCCAAGCCCCTTGCCCATAAAACCTCCTTTACCCCCTCTCTCCAACCCTTTCGAGGGAGACCCCTACCTCGCCTTCCTTCCCCTATAGATTTATATGCTTTCCATGTCATTCTACTTTGATCCATTCTCTCTAAATGACCAAACCACCTCAACAACCCCTCTTCTGCCCTCTGACTAATACTTTTATTAACTCCACACCTTTTCCTAATTTCCACACTCCGAATTTTCTGCATAATATTTACACCACACATTGCCCTTAGACAGGACATCTCCACTGCCTCCAACCGTCTCCTCGCTGCTGCATTTACCACCCAAGCTTCACACCCATATAAGAGTGTTGGTACTACTATACTTTCATACATTCCCTTCTTTGCCTCCATAGATAACGTTTTTTGACTCCACATATACCTCAATGCACCACTCGCCTTTTTTCCCTCATCAATTCTATGATTAACCTCATCCTTCATAAATCCATGCGCCGACACGTCAACTCCCAAGTATCTGAAAACATTCACTTCTTCCATACTCCTCCTCCCCAATTTGATATCCAATTTTTCTTTATCTAAATCATTTGATACCCTCATCACCTTACTCTTTTCTATGTTCACTTTCAACTTTCTACCTTTACACACATTCCCAAACTCATCCACTAACCTTTGCAATTTTTTTTTAGAATCTCCCATAAGCACAGTATCATCAGCAAAAAAGTAACTGTGTTAATTCCCATTTTGGATTTGATTCCCCATAATTTAATCCCACCCCTCTCCCAAACACCCTAGCATTTACTTTTTTTACAACCCCATCTATAAATATATTAAACAACCATGGTGACATTACACATCCCTGTCTAAGACCTACTTTTACCGGGAAGTAGTCTCCCTCTCTTCTACACACCCTAACCTGAGCCTCACTATCCTCATAAAAACTCTTTACAGCATTTAGTAACTTACCACCTATTCCATATACTTGCAACATCTGCCACATTGCTCCCCTATCCACTCTATCATATGCCTTTTCTTAATCCATAAATGCAATAAAAACTTCCCTACCTTTATCTAAATACTGTTCACATATATGCTTCAATGTAAACACTTGATCTACACATCCCCTACCCACTCTGAAACCTCTTTGCTCATCCGCAATCCTACATTCTGTCTTGCCTCTAATTCTTTCAATTATAACCCTACCGTACACTTTTCCTGGTATACTCAATAAACTTATTCCTCTATAATTTTTACAATCTCTTTTGTCCCCTTTCCCTTTATATAAAGGGACTATACATGCTCTCCGCCAACCCCTAGGTACCTTCCCCTCTTTCATACATTTATTAAACAAAAGTACCAACCACTCCAACACTATATCCCCCCCTACTTCTAACATTTCTGTCATGATCCCATCAGTTCCAGCTGCTTTACCCCCTTTCATTCTACGTAATGCCTTGCGTACCTCCCCCACACTTACATTCTGCTCTTCTTCACTCCTAAAAGATGGTATATCTCCCTGACCAGTGCATGAAATTACCGCCTCCCTTTCTTCCTCAACATTTAAAAGTTCCTCAAAATATTCTCGACATCTACCTAATACCTCCCTCTCCCCATCTACTAACTCCCCTACTCTGTTTTTAACAGACAAATCCATACTTTCCCTAGGCTTTCTTAACTTGTTTAACCCTAAAATTTTTTCTTATTTTCATTAAAATTTCTTGACAGTGCCTCTCCCACTCTATCATCTGCTCTCCTTTTGCACTCTCTCACCACTCTCTTCACCTTTCTTTTACTCTCCATATACTCTGCTCTTCTTATAACACTTCTGCTTTGTAAAAACCTCTCATAAGCTAACTTTTTCTCTTTTATCACACCCTTTTCTTCATCATTCCACCAATCACTCCTCTTTCCACCTGCTCCCACCCTCCTATAACCACAAACTTCTGCCCCACATTCTAATACTGCATTTTTAAAACTATGCCAACCCTCTTCAAGCCCCCCACTACTCATCTTTGCACTAGCCCACCTTTCTGCCAACAGTCGCTTATATCTCCCCCGAACTTCCTCCTCCCTTAGTTTATACACTTTCACCTCCCTTTTACTTGTTGTTGCCATTTTCCTGTTGTCCCATCTACCTCTTACTCTAACTGTAGCTACAACTAAATAATGATCCGATATATCAGTTGCCCCTCTATAAACATGTACATCCTGGAGCCTACCCATCAACCTTTTATCCACCAATACATAATCTAACAAACTACTTTCATTACGTGCTACATCAAACCTTGTATATTTATTTATCCTCTTTTTCATAAAATATGTATTACTTATTACCAAATCTCTTTCTACACATAGTTCAATTAAAGGCTCCCCATTTTCATTTACCCCTGGCACCCCAAATTTACCTACTACTCCCTCCATAACTTTTTTACCCACTTTAGCATTGAAATCCCCAACCACCATTCAAAACTCCTACGCATTCACTCAATATTTCCCAAAATCTCTCTCTCTCCTCTACACTTCTTTCTTCTCCAGGTGCATACATGCTTACTATAACCCACTTTTCACATCCAATCTTTATTTTACTCTACATAATCCTTGAATTAATACAATTATAGTCCCTCTTTTCCTGCCATAGCTTATCCTTCAACATTATTGCTACTCCTTCTTTAGCTCTAACTCTATTTGAAACCCCTGACCTAATCCCATTTATTCCTCTCCATTGAAACTCTCCCACCCCCTTCAGCTTTGTTTCACTTAAAGCCAGGACATCCAGCTTCTTCTCATTCATAACATCCACAATTATCTCTTTCTTATCATTTGCACAACATCCACGCACATTCAGACTTCCCACTTTGACAATTTTCTTCTTCTTATTCTTTTTAGTAATCTTTACAGGAAAAGGGGTTACTAGCCCATTGTTTCCGGCATTTTAGTTGACTTTTACAACACGCATGGCTTACGGAGGAATATTATTATTATTATTATTATTTTTGTATTGGGATAAGGAAGAAAATTCTCACTATTGTATTTTAATAATTATGTGGCACATTTGTATGCTATAATCATAAAGCTGTTTCCCATTAGACAGGCACTCTTCAAAATACTTAAGAAGTGTTTACAAATTTATCTTGTATTTTAATAAGTTGGTCATATATATTGTAAACTTGATGTTGATTATGATTTAAGATTTAAAATCATATGAGACTATTTAGATTCAAATCACAAACTCAGAGGTTTTAAAATACTAAAGCACAAGCAGATCAGCAAATAATAAACATGAGCAGTAGATAAACATGTGGAATGAATTTTTACTTAGCACTGAGCTGTATACTGCAAACACTGGATAATTTGCATTGTACACTGACAAATTATGGGCGACATAAATGCTGAAAAATCTAATAACTTTGTGATAACTTATGATTAATAAAGTTTTGGTATTTTAGCTAAAGTAGTGTATTTGGTGTTTTTTTTATATTGCTGTTTATATTTATTTTTCTCTCTACAATAATTTGTAACTATTTTTTACAGGCAACTGAATATTTGAAGCTAAGTAATCTTGAATGGTTTTCCAAAGAAATGAGAGGACTCGTCAGAGACTTGGAATATACAAAGGATCGATATATACAAGTTCAGAGAAATGTATTAGACAACTCTGAAAGTGTAAGTTTATGCAGGGTTATTAGCTCATTTATACACATTTTATACACATAGATAATATCTATTTGTAATAATGTATTTATACTTGCAGGAACAGGGCTAGGCTAATGGTGTTCCCATTTTCAGTATTTAGTCTATTGTAAAGTTTTTAACCCTTTGACTGTCGCAAGCTCCTTTCTGAAACTGTCATTCTATGTCGCAAAATTTTGGGAAAAAAAAAAATTCTTATGAAATGGTAGAGAATCTTTTCCCGATGGTAATGACACCAAAAGTACGAAATTTGGTCGAAAACTCACAGAATTACGCTCCCGCGAAGTTAGTGTTCTTGGCAACATACGCACATCGGCGATTTCGCCGACTTTGAGCCCTGTTTTTGGCCAATTCCATTGTTCCAGTTGACCAAACTCATAGCTATTTCTTTAGAACTTCATTTTTTCTATCAATTGAGTACAAGAAACTGCCCATTTACTGATTTGAACTACCCAATAAAGTGGTCAGAAATTGGCAATTTGGCCAATTTCACGCAAATTAAAAAAGATGCTAATTTCAAAATAGGGTCCAGAATAAACAGTGTAGACATTCTTGGCACTAAAATAACATATCCTCTGTTCATTAGTCACGTCTCTAGGCCTCTTATATTACTGTTGCTTTCTATTTTGATTTTTTATTCATACAAAAAATACAAAATTTACTGTTATGCAGATTACTGCATTATTGTAAAAATGGTATAAATAATATCAGTGCACTAGTGAAAGAATATTAGACTCTCTTGTTGACGTGTATTGGACGTGTGGTGTGAGTTGCTTACTCTTGAACATTGGTAAAAATCGAACATTTCCGCTACTTTGAGCTTAATTTCAAGGTCGTTTTCATCGTGAAACTAATCAAAATCATCTCAATTTCTGCAATATATTTTCCATTTTATCATGTGAGACCATGAAAATGAGAATACAACGATAAATACTATGCGAAAATCCACCTCAAAGTCGGCATTTTAATCCAAAAAAACGGTCAGTTTTTTTTTTCTCATTATGCACTGTGTGCTGCAGGATTTTTTTTACATGGTGCACACTGACCACACAGACCCATTCTCTCACATGTGGGCCTACTGGCTTTCTCCTGCTTGATTTGAAGCCACTAGAATTTTGAGTATATATACGTCCGAAACGCTGGCTTGTAAGACGTATGTATGCGACCAAAACAGTCAAAGGGTTAAAGTTTCCAGTGGCTGTAGCAGTTTCTCTTGTAAATCATTTTATAGGTCCCACATATTGTGGTCTAATGCATTATTATCATGCCACTCAAGGAGGTACCTTGCTGGTGAGTGGCTCTCGATCAGAGGAATTAGACTTGTCCTCCCCTTTCTTAGATTGAACCTGCTAAACTCATAGGTATCATACAGCACCATTCTCCAGGTGCTGTATGATACTTAAGGGTTTAGTGCTTCCCTGCAATAATAATACATGTTGCCATTATCACACTTATCAGAGGATTTCACAATGAGTACATTATTGATGCTATTTTGCTTATCTTTCAGTGCATTGAAAACCATGTCATAATGGTGGAGCATTTATGAGAAGCAAGTGTATCTTTCTCTAAATCAGTGTTGTCCTAGGTTGGATAATTACAGTTTTTGTGATCCTAGACTTATGGAATATGGGGACAGGGATTGTTGCTACTGTACCGGTTGCTTTTATGGATTTTTTTTTTTAACACCTCTACTGGTTTTCCTTGTTAATCACCCATATGATGTTTGAAAAGTGGTATATATCTGTGCACAAATAGCATTTTACTTGGAACATATTTGAACTCATTGGATTCATGTGATAGTAGGGGCAGGCAGGAAGGCCTGCAGGAATCAGGCATCCACTTCCATACTGCTTTTAATTTTAGTTAATTTTAAGAATGAACACTATGTAGGCTTTATCATTCCGTAGTTTTCACTGATATCTCATTCTATTCTGATAACTGTGTTCTCAAGATTTAACTGTGATGATGATTGTTAATTCCTTTAGGATGCTTTTTCTTATGTAAATAAGTATTGTATAGATGTTTGTAATCAACCTCCCTCCCTCTCTCTAGTTGCAAAAATGTCATAATTATTTCTTCTCAGTTGATATTTCCACTTAAAGGTTTTCAAGCAGTATTAACATTCTAAACAAATAAAACTTGTAATGCTACAATAATTCGTCACTAATCATCTCCCAGGCTAAAGAAAAGGATTCAAAGCTCACTGAATGAGGGGGCATTGACTTGAAGGGTTAGATTTAGATTTTTTATTTTGACAAATTACATGGCTATACAGAGGAATATAATAGTTGGGTGTACATGCCAAAAGCCCCTCTGTATGCTGAGCATTTCGGGCAAACTTCACCATTACATCTAGTAATGCATAGTTCTTATGGTCGTTAGATGACTTAGAGTGAGTACAGGGGAATTGAATATTATATCAGGTGATGCTACATGGTTTTGATAAGTCTAGTAGAGACTTTTTACACTATTGATTTAGTTAATAAAGATTACAGTATTACAATGTAACATTGTAAAACAGTTTACAATGTGATGTATTGCAGTTTAGTACTATTTAAAACAATGAAATTTGGTATTACAGTGGAACAGTTTACATTATGATGTACTGTATTACAGTCTACTACTATTTAAAACAATGAAAAGAACAGACATCCTAATTTCAAAGTAGTAAGTGGTCGAGCATTCATCAGTACAGTGGAACCTCAAAAATCGAACTGCTCCCAACACAACCAATTATATAAGTGTATTTTTGTAAGTGCTTTTATAAGTGTATTTTTGAGGGTCTGAAATGGACTAATCTAATTTACATTATTCCTGATGGGAATAAATTCATTCGGTAAAGGCACTCGAACAGCCTTCTGGACTGAAGAAAGTTCGATATTTGAGGTTCCACTGTACAATATGAGTAGCTTTTGAGAAACTGCTAGTGGTTAGGTATGGTTTGTCTGGTCAATATTGGGTGATGAGGTGATTTCTTATTTGGACCTTAAACTGATTTGCAGACAGTGGTCCTTTAGTTTATTTTGGCAGTGAATTCCAGATCTTCGGGCCTTTTACGTGCATAGCATTTTTGCATAGGGAGAGATGACACGGGGAATATCGAAGAGTGTTCTCTGTCTCGTATTATGGTTGTGTGTTCTGTTATAGTTATCAAGGAGTTTAAGAGGAGGGTTTACATTAGAGTATGTACTGTTCTATGTATGTAGTATAGGCATGCTAATAAGTGTTGATGTTTTGTATATTTTTCAAGTTAAGACTCTTGAAAAGTGGTGGAGTGTGTTGTCTAACGCAGTAGTTAATCAGTCGCACTGCAGATTTTTGCTCGGTTATTAAAGGCTTAAGGTGATTTGCTGTGGTTGAGCCCCATGCACAAATACCATAGGTGAGGTAAGGGTAAATGAGAGAGTGGTACAAAGCTAGGAGAGCTGATTGGGGTACATAGTACAGTATCTTTGAAAAGATGCCTACTGTTTTGGAGAATTTCTTGGAAATTTGCTGTATGTGTGTCTGAAATTTGAGACTGCAGTCAAGGTGGAGACCTAGAAATTTGCCTTCTGTCTGTCTCGAGATAGGTGAACCATTTATCAATATGTTTAGCTGTACATTTGAAGCTCTGTTTCCGAAAAGCATAAAGTAGGTTTTGTCTATATTGAGAGTAAGTTTGTTGGTAATTATCCAAGTAGATATTTTTAGCAGTTCAGCATTTACTGTGTCTGTTAGTATGGTTGGGTTTGGGTGAGAAAAGACATAAGTTGTGTCATCTGCAAATGAAATGGGTTTGAGGAGATTAGATGCATTTGGTAGGTCATTGATGCAAATGAGAAAGAGAAGTGGGCTAAGAATGCTCCCCTGTGGGACTCCATCAAGAACAGGTTGTGTAGAGGAACAGGCTCCATTTGTGTATACATATTGAGTTCTATTGTTAAGATTTCAGGTAATCGAGTGTGTCCTCTGACCCCATAATGTTCGAGTTTTTGGTGCAAAAGGTCATGGTCAACTGTATCAAAAGCTTTATGTAAGTCTGTGAACAGTCCCAGGGAAATTCATTTTTCTCGAGTGCAGAGTGTATTAGTTCAAGCATATGTACAATAGCATCATTAGTTTTTTTTTCGGTCTGAACCCAAACTGACAAGGGTTGAGTATGTTAGAGGATACGAAGTAGGAGTAGACTTGTTTGTGTATTAATTTTTTGAAGATTTTAGATATTAGGGGAAGGTTTGATATAGGCCTATAATTATTCAATTCAGTTGGATCACCTCCTTTGAGGATCGGGGTGACTCTTGCTGTCTTGATGACTGAATCTCTGATCATGGCTAAATTGTTCATAATTCCTACTCTTTGAAATTCTATCCTCATTATATGCATACTTCTGCATCAGTTTTTTTTTTTTTTTCAACGAACTGGACGTATCCTACCAAGGCAGGGTGACCTACCTGGAGTTTACCTAGAGAGGGTTTCGGGGGTCAACGCCCCCGCGGCCCGGTCTGAGACTAGGCCTCATGGTGGATCAGGGTCTGATCAACCAGGCTGTTACTGCTGACCGCACGCAAGCTGATGTACGAACCACAGCCCGGTTGGTCAGGTACTGACTTTAGGTGCCTGTCCAATGCCTTCTTGAAGACAGCCAGGGGTCTGTTGGCAATCCCCCTTATGTATGCTGGGAGGCAATTGAACAGTCTTGGGCCCCGAACACATATTGTGTTGTTTCTCATTGTACTCGTGGCACCCCTGCTTTTCATCGAGGGGGAATGTTGAAGGTCCTCCAGGACCTTCCAAGTGTATATTATCATGTATCTCTCTTGCCTGCATTCGAGGGAATACAGATCAAGGACCTTCAACCGTTCCCAGTAGTTTAGGTGCCTTATCATACTTATGTGTGCCGTGAAAGTTCTTCGTACACTCTCCAGGTCGCCAGCCTGGAAGGGGGCCATTAGTGTACAGCAGTATTCCAGCCTGGAGAGCACAACTGATTT